GCTCAGCATATAAAGCTGGGGGAAGAAGAAGGAAGGGGGGGATGTTCAGAGTTATGGCATTTGTCTTTCCAAGTAACCATTACGCATGATGGAGCCCTGCTTTCCTGGAGATGGCTGAACACCTGCCTGATGACGGGAAGTAGTGAATGAACTCCTTGTTTTGCTTTGCTTGCGTGCACCGCTTTTGCTTTACTTATTAAACTGTCTTTATCTCAACCCACGAGTTTTCTCACTTTTACTCTTCTGATTCTCTCCCCCATCCCACCAGGGGGGAGTGAGCGAGTGGCTTAGTTGCTGGCTGGGGTTAAACCACGACACCGGCTTCTCCTTGCCTACTCCTAAGCTCTTCCTTTCCATCAGTTCTCCCTTTTGGCTCTACCCATTGCTCTTCTTCTCCTCTTCGAAATGCGGGGGGATGTTCCGCACGCCCTGGAAATAAATCTCCTCTGGGTCAGACTGGGCTGATGGGGACCCCTGAGGGCTGCCGTGCATGTCCGTGCTTCGTTAGTCCTTGTGTGCGAGGTATTTAGCCTGGCTGAGCTCTCGTCCTAGTATAAGCTGATATTAATATAATGGCTCAGGGCAAGGGCCCTGCAAGCTGCTCAGTCGTTGTGCCCTTGATCTGGAGAGCTGTGACTGGTTGGCCCTGCACCTCTCCTGGTGGTAGATTCTGGGGAACGTGGGGGCTGTGGGCCGTGCAATCCAGTCTGCATCCATCAGCTCCTCACCTGCCCGAGCCAGGCTGTGGCACAGTGCCCTGTGGACACCTCCAGACCCCTCCTGAGAAAAAGGCTGGGAGCCCTGCACCACCTGCTCTGGGACTGGGACGGGTGCCGTCAGGGGAGGCTCTGACTGGGTTTTGCTTCGTCCTTCTCTGCAAGGCGCGTGCCCAGGAGCAATCCCAATGGCAGCACGGGTCCCAGCTCACCAGAGGTGAAACCCGGAGCAGCCCAGTCCCATGTGAGTGCTGCTGCATGAGATCCCGTGCCCTCCCAGCTCCTGCGGCCCCCTGACACCTGATGATACAGCGAGCC